GGTGGGATAGGAGGGGGGGTTGACCGCACCCCACACGTAATACCTGAACGTAGAATTAACCGCTCTTTCCGAATCCATAATAAAAAATGGGGGTTCTTATTGAAAAAATCACTTGGTTATTTGGTTATTGGGGTTATTGGGGTTGGCTTTTGGGTTATTGAGTTATTATATATGTTGTTTATATTATATATGTTATTATATATGAGTTATTATATATGTTACCCAACATATATATATGTTGGGTTATTGGGTTATTTGAGGTTTTAGGTTATTAAAATTAATTATACCCTTGCCCGATCATCCCTGTGGATAGATAAAGAAAATAATAAATTTGACTCCTACATGACCTTACGTGGGACGGGGAGTTTACCGCACCCCACACATTATACCTTATCTAAACGTAGAATTTCTTGCTCTTTCCGAATCCGGGATCAAATTTATAGATTATTATTCAAAAAATGACTTTGATTTTCAAATGACCTTGAAAATAAATCCGATTTCTGGGAAAGGTGTCCCTCATTGTCCCAAAAAACTTTTATCTGATCAATTTTTTTGTAGAATGCCAACCGTAGAAAATTTCGGGGTGGTTCCTTTAAAATGGGTCACCCTGTATATTTGCTGAAGTTTTATGCCAGAGTTGCGATGAGCTAATCTGGCTACAGTTTGGGCATCTTATATGATCAATAAAGTCAGCATCACACCTGATTTTTCTTGTCTTAACGTATTATTTATCTTATAACTGTGTAACCTGCTTCTGCCACGAATTTTGATGTCAAACACATGAGGCACCCTACTCTCATGAGCAAAAAGTGAGTCTAAATCCACCTAAAGGTTTATTGAGTCATTTTGTGTTACTCAATGATACTGTTTAGGCTATCTTGGCCTGACACAGACACTTGGTGGGTAACTTAATTCATTTTCGACGACTTAGTTTTGTTCTTCTATGACGTTAAGAAGACAGTCTTCTGAGTCTTAGAGGGATAAAAATAAGACGCGCCATTTATTCATACATCACGCAATTAGATTGATTTAGACTTTTTGAGAAATTAGTTCACCTTTTATGAAACCTATCAAACTTTCGAACGTAAAATAGTAAAGAATCTATTCACAGTAATTTTCAATGTATAGCGAATACATTTTTCTAGCTAGGCAAAAACAAAAAGACTTATACGAGGGTCGTTTGAAAAGTCCGTGCAAAGTCAGAGAGATGGCGCTACTAGTGCGTATCAAGGTTATTTTCAGTTAGTAGCATATCTTGGAAGAGCACACACCTAGTTTCAGCCAGATCGGCCAATTACTTTGCGTTTTACATTAGTTTGTTTCAATCAAAGAAATCGAGTGATTGTAAAAAAATGGACGAAAAAGAATTTCGTGTCTTGATTAAATATTACTTTTTCAAAGGCAAAACACCTCAGGAGATTAAACAGAAGCTTGATAAACATTATGATGATTGTGCACTTACGATTAAAATGGTTTATAAGTGATTTTAAAATTTTTGTAGTGGCCATATGAACACAAAAAACGCTGAACATTCTGGACGCCCTGTTGAGGTTACCACTTCAGAAATCATTGATAAAATCCATGATATGGTGATGGCTGACAGAAGAGTGAAGGTGCGTGAGATTGCTAGTACTGTAGGCATCTCGAGCGAACGGGTACATAATATTTTGCACCAACATTTGAACATGAAAAAGCTATGCGCTAGATGGGTGCCGCGGTTGCTCACGATTGACCAAAAACGAGATCGTGTGAAGTGTTGCAAGAATGGTTTGCAGCTGTTCCAGCAAAATCCGCAAGACTTTAAACGTCGTTTCATCACTGTAGATGAAACATGGATACACCACTACACTCCTGAGACCAAAGAACAGTCTAAACAATTGGTTACCAAGGGGGAATCTGCTCCGAAAAAGGCGAAGACAATTCCTTCGGCCGGGAAGGTTATGTCGAATGTCTTTTGGGATTCGCAAGGAATAATCTTCATCGACTTTCTGGAAAAGAGTAAAACTATTATAGGCGAATATTATTCATCGTTATTGGATCGTTTGAAAACCGAGTTGCTAGAGAAACGTCCACGATTGGCCCACAAAAAAGTCCTCTTCCACCACGACAATGCGCCAGCTCATGCCTCAGCAGTTGTGGCCGCTAAACAGATGGCGATAGGGCTCCAACTCGCGAAAATTGAAGCTAGATATTTCTATATAAAAAAAAGAGACAAATGATAGATTTACGCATAATATAAGTCTGAAGATCAAAGGGAGGTTTAAAGGTTCGTGTGATGCAAGGAGCGAGACTCGATTAAATCAAATTTTGTTTATTTATTAAGTATAAATGTGCGCGTAATATCCGACATAAAATCCCCAGTCATGAGTGGAGAAAAACCCTTTAAAACGTCTCTCATAAAATGTAAAAATACAATGCTTCATATGCTATTTCGCAACGGAAGCAGGATAATTCTATGTTCAATTACCTTGACATCATGGAAATGGTCATTTACTGGTGAAACTTACGTATGTATACGAGGGTGGTCTGATAAGTATTTAGCCTACAAACGAAAAACGAAAATTTTGGAAAAGTGGTGTTTTATTTTTCAACATAGTCTCCTTTTAGTTTGATATACTTGGCCCAGCGATGCTCCAACTTCTTTAACTCGTCTGAAAAATACGTTTCCTCGAGGTCTGAAAAGTAGGCTTCCGTGGCAGCGATTACCTCCTCATTCGACTCAAATTTCTGCCCGGCGAGTGACTTTTTCAAGTTTGAAAACAAAAAGAAGTCGCACGGGGCTAAATCTGGAGAATACGGTGGATGGGGCAGCAGTTCGTAGCTTAATTCGACCAATTTGGCCATAGCAACGGCGGAGGTGTGAACCGGTGCGTTGTCATGGTGGAAGAGCTCTTTTTTCTTCGCCAATGGGGCGGTTTTTTCTGCAATTCGACGTCGAATCGGCCCAATAATTCGGCATAGTATAGCCCTGTCACCGTTTTGCCCCTCTCCAGGTAGTCGATGTAGATCACACCTTGTGAATCCCAGAAAACGGTGGCCATCACCTTTCCGGCCAATGGGGCAGTCTTCGCCTTCTTCGGAGCACTTTCGCCGGGTAAAGTCCACTGTTTCGACTGTTCCTTGGTCTCTGGTATATACCAGTGGATCCATGTTTCGTCAACTATCACGAAACGATGCAGAAACTCCTTCGGATTGCGCTTAAACAGCGTCAGACATTGCTCTGAAGTTGTCTCACAATTGCGCTTGTTGTCCGGAGTGAGCAAACGCGGCACCCATCGCGCCGACAGATTTCTCTAGCCCAAAATTTCATGCAGGACATGAAATCTCAGCTATCTCGCGCACCTTCAATCGTTGATCTAACAATACGAGATCGTGGATTTTTATCACGCTATCCTCCGTGGTAGCCGTATTCGGAGCACCTGGACGTGGCTCTTCAAAAATCGACGTGCGACCACGTTGAAACTCGTTAAACCAATTTTGGACGGTTGCCATCGAAGGAGAAAAGTCACCGTGCACAGTATCCAAGCGCTTTTTGATTTCGCTGCGCGATTTCCCTTCCAAAAACAAGAATCGAATCACCGACCGATACTGCTCTTTTTCCATTTTTCAAAAATCAACGGACACACTTGCTTTCACACGCTCTCAAAAATAAACTACAACTCCGATCCGGCTGAAATCTTGACAGTAACCATCGAGAAGGTCGTACTACGTGATAGAATATTTCTTTTGCGAGAGTGGCGCCATCGGGCGGTGAGGCTAAGTACTTATCAGACAACCCTCGTACACTACGTATTCGTGATGTGGGTGACGCTTGCTAATAAAAGGAGTCTGAACTCGGCGGTTTCCAGTAACGGACTGACTCAAGCACAACCTAATTCTCGCAACAATAAATAAACAGAAAAAAAGTGTTTCTGGTAATGTTGGCCCTTCAGAACGACCAATCAGGAAAGAGATCAGGTGAAAGTGTTTACGGAAAACCCGAGAACGGCGGCCATTAACGATCACACGTTCTGGGTCTTTTCCTGCTTTAATACTGCTGCCCCATCCACCGTATTCTCCAGATGTAGCCCCGTGCGACTTATTTTTGTTTCCAAACTTGAAAAAGTCACTCGCCGGGCAGAAATTTGAGTCGAATGAGGAGGTAATCGCTGCCACGGAAGCCTACTTTTCAGACCTCGAGGAAACGTATTTTTCAGACGAGTTAAAGAAGTTGGGACATCGCTGGGCCAAGTGTATCGAACTAAAAGGAGACTATGTTGAAAAATAAAACGCCACTTTTCCAAAATTTTCGTTTTTCTTTTGTAGGCTAAGTACTTATCGGACCACCCTCGTACAATGACCATCAGTCATCGACAACAATACGGAATCCCCGGTTTCGAAGGTAAATTTGCGCTACTAGGCACGAAAAAGTTATGAGCGCTGAAAGAGAGATATACAAAATTCGTCTGAATTTTTATGGGTTAATTTACGAGTGCTAGTGAAGGGTGACTGTGGTGACCGACTGACTTACTACGCGTCTATCGAGAGCTTCACGTCTGACGACACAAATACAAAAAAACTCGCCGCCCGGGCCGTCGCTCGGAGGACGCCATGAACAAAAGAAAGATTCGGCAAGTCATCGATCATCACAGACAACTATCACAAACCCACCAAGCTGCCAAGGCATTTTTGTCTGTAGCAACAATGCCTGTTATCACGTAGGCGATAATTATTTGTTTCGCGGGCGCTTTCCTTGTTTTTGCATGCGACGTAACTTATGTTAGTTCGTGTTTGACTTTATTCTCTCTCTCTCTCTCTCTTTTTATTTCTCACTCATTCTCGCGATCAAAAAAAGTGCGACTTGTTAATATTTGTGTTATTGCGTGCGTCTGAACCTCACAGCTACCTCTGTTTCACATTATAATACTCATGCACTGACTCGGATTCAAGCTGTAGCTTCCATAAACTAAACATTTTTGCGATATCTAAGAATGCAATAGCTAGAACATAAAACAACTTACTTGTTGAACAGATGATTGTCTATTTTTAATTTACTATAAGCTCTGAAATCATCAGGTAACAGCATTACTGGAATATTTACGTGACTGAGTTCGTTAATCTGAAAACAATTAAATTGGAGTTAAAAATAGAATAAAACAAATTTTTTTAAATGAAGAAACAATAAAAAAACTTAGTTTAAGCTTGATAATGAAAAGATTTCATAAATAAACTTAAAAAAATGACAATTTTTTCTCTACATTCATTGATATAAATGATTTGATAAATCATTTTCGCCATAAAAAGAAAGCAACAAGTAACTTTAATCTTAGTTCGTATTTTTGATATCCATTAGTTCTTCAAAGATCATTGTAAGAAGCATGAATAAATTGTCATCCAATTCTGATGATTGTCACGGCAAATTTTACACGCTGCGGTAGCGATGGTCGAGTTATAAAGCGCGTATGGGTACTTGCAGGAATCTAGGCGTCGAAGTCGGCAGTTATATAATAATAATTTTTATTATAAACTGACAGAGCTCCAGAGAGATGTCTTTACAAGGCGAGATCGTGTACAGGACTGACTGCGCTTGTCCGTCTCAGGGGCTCACAAATTAAGATAAGTCCCTACCACTTCTTTCAGGAATAAGTATATCCTGGGAACCGAGAGATTCATATAGCTTAATTGTTTATTTAGGTTTGCAGCTGTCTATGTTCTATTTCATTTCTGGTCTATCATGTATTTACCGCGTATAGTTTGTTTGTTTCGGCCTATTTTATGTCTTCTACTTCGGTCGGCCCGCGTGTGCAACGAATAGACGTGTATGACATATGTTCTTATAGCTACAGGAGATAACTATATTATTTTATTATTAGTTCGCATGACTATCCCTTCCTTAAGCTGATTCTTGTCCTCAAGAATCTCAGAATATGTTCGCAACCTGTTGTGGCACTTTGTGCAACATAAAAGAGTTACAGACAATATCATTATTAATCGGATCGACAACAGCTTTATCGTTAGAGCAATGGCTTTAATTGATTAAAATGTCGTCTGAATAAAGCATTATTATATAATATCCGAGTAGTATTAGCATTTACATTTATTGTAAGTATTGTTCCCGGCCCTTAATATTCGTTCCCTAACTTGAACATCACTTGTTGCTGTAATTCTAGTTTAAATTTTAATGCTTGTCGTGAGTCCACTAATTTTTTTTTCTATTTATTTTCATCGATCTTTACTTTTGCGGTGATTTTATCTCGATTGGCTTTGTGGAATCTTCCTTCGATAATATCTCGTAGCAGAGGTCCGATTATCATTTCACGTGGTGCACGGGCATAAAAGAGTTCGTACGGTGAAAATCCTGTGCTTGGGTGTATTGTATTGTTGTAGCTCATTACTGTAGGTATGTGTGATCGTCTATGCGCATGGTCTATGTACCAGATTTCGTTGATATCTGAGGGTGCTTCAATGAGTGTGCCTGGCGCTCGGAATCGTTTCTTTATCTCCTCGTTACGACAGTGTTCATATGAATCGATCCAATTTCTTATATCCTCTGTTTTTGTTTCCCAACAGTATTTTCTAAGTTCAATTGTCATTTTATCTTGCTTCCAGTGTGTTTCACCGTGTGCCCTACCTAGTAGTGTTTTTTGTATAGCTTCATTATTTACGTGTTGCTGCTCTGTGCTTTTAATGTAGAGAGTTGGCCACCTCATTTTCCTGGCCATTTCAGCAAATTTCTGAATTAATTTTTGAGATGTACTGTCATCGATTTTTCTGAATTCTAGAGTTTCATCAGCTTTGAGTTTATTAAGAATGTCTATTACTACGGGCAGTGGATTAGTTATAAGCTCTTCAGAAGGTTCCAAAATTACGTCTCCTTTACATTTATTATTCATAATAACTTGCGACATTATTTTTGGCCTTCCTGGCTGGCGAGGTAGTCGTTGTTTTAAAGGCAGATCTGAATCTTCAACATCGTTTGTTATTGACGATAATGGTCTTGCCGTAGTTTTAGGTTGCTCACTAGCTATATCCGGGTCAGCTAGGGGAGCAGACTTGATAGTTTTGTTTGCATCAACTGGTTTTTCATAACGATGTTTTCTTTTTATGTAGAGCCAATTAATGCCGTTTGATGTTGCTACCATTCTTAGGACGCTGATCGAATTTTCAACTTTTTGTAGTGTAAAATCTTCACTAAATTCTATCGCTTTAGTCCCCTTTTCGGTCGACTCCTTCAATAATTTTGTTGCTGGCGTCGATTGCCATTTGTCCTTTGTGATAGCGAGAGCAGGGTAACTGTCTCGCGTCCATACAATGCTGCAAAGAGTTTCAGTGCAAAATACTCGGCTAAGTGCGTCGGCGTTCGTATTTAATCTACCCTTTTTATATTCAACCATTGGCTGAAAGTCAACTATTTTAAGGAGTAGTTTAAATATTCTCGATCCGATTTCGGGTGACTTTGTCTTGATTAGTCCGGCCAAAGGTGCATGGTCGGTTATGAGAATAAATGGCTTTCCATATAAAAAGTGTCTAAAATGCCTTATAGCCTAGACGGCTCCGAGCAATTCTTTCTCAGTGGTCGAATAGTTTTTCTCTGCGCTATTGAGTGCTCGTGATGCGTATGCACAAGGTAAATCTTTTCCCTTTTTGTAATCTCCCTGACTAAATATTGCTCCGAGTGCTTCGTTACTTGCATCGGTTGTGAGTATAAATAATTCTTCGAGATTTGGGTAACGTAATATAGGCGTTGAGGTTAATTTTTCTTTCAATGTTTTGAAGGCTTCTTGGCATTCATGAGTAAATTCAAACTTTTGGTCCTTACACATGAGCTTATTTAAAGGTACGATTATTTTACCGTAGTTTTTGATGAATTTTCTATAATATCCGCATAGACCTACTAGCTCGCGTACTTCCTTTTGATTAACGGGTTGTTTGTAGTTCCTTATACAGTCTATCTTACTTGGGTTCGGTAAAACTCCTTCTTTTGTAATTAAGTGTCCAAGGTATTCTAATTCTGCCTTTACGTATTCGCATTTATCTGGTTGTAGTTTTAATTTTGTCTTCCTCAGTCGTTGAAATAAAGTTTGTAAATTTTGCAGGTGCTCTTCAAATGTTTTTGAATATACTATGAATATACTATAAAGGAAGGGCGAATTTGACTTCACTATTACTCCTCTTTCTTCAAGATCCGTTATTTGTTTATCAATTTCTATATGCAATGCCATCGGGTGTCGATATAGTTTTGAACTGATAGGCTGAGCTGTAGTTAAATCTATTCGGTGATATACGTCATCGAGTGAAGGGGCGGCATCTCCTTCAAGTTGAAATATATCCGAGAAAGCTCTAACAAGTGTTAAGATAGCATTGGATTGTTCTTGCGGCAGGTGTGAAACCCGTGTATTCTCAGTAATAAGTTTGTCCCTATCCTGCGTTGCATAGATATTACTTTCTTGAGAATAGAACTGTTGTAGAAGCGCCTTCCTCTGGTCGTTAGGAATGTTATTGTTTAATATTGAAATGTTTTCTTTGAATTGTTCTATGTGTAAGTCAGTGTATATATTGACTTGTTTCTTTGAATGATTTATGCAACTTAATTTCGCTTTTCCATCCCTTACGTTATAAATTGCAGGCGTCACTATGTTTTTTTGATCTGTAATGATATAATCTCCGTCCGGCTTATTAATTTTGACAGTAAGAATATTTATTCCAGGCTGAAGCGGTGTGAATTCTCTATTAAACTTGAAACTTAATATGTTTTTGTGTTCGTCTTTGATTTCTATTATTTCATCTGTAGTATTTATTATAGCCTGATAGTTTTTGAGCCAATCTCTGCCTAAAAGTCCGTCGGCGTCAAGCGGAAATGAGTCTGCAGCTACATTGTAAATAAAGTTCTTTCCGAAAGTTTTGAGTTTGCATTGGCCGTACATTGTATGTGGTCCATTCACTATTTGAATTGTTTTTCTCTAATGCATCGGCTGTTTAATGGGATTACATGTTTTTTTATCCAGTACTGAGTCTTTGATTATTGAGAGGCCTGCTCCGGTGTCTACTAAAAATTTTAACATTCGTTTTCTTGAGCCTGTTGGCTTAAGCCATAGGTGCCAGTGTCGTCCATTTGAGGGATATATTGCGTCTGCATGTCGTTCCAAAAGCATTGTGGCGGGTCGTCCTCGGTCCATGAGGCGTCCTCTTCTTTCATCAAATGTTGACTTGAGGCTGGTCTCGAAAATTTTTTGCCTTGTACATTTTTTATTCTATAGCAATTAGATTTATCATGGCCATATACTCCACAATGCGAGCACGTGGGCTTCGGAGGCCTATCTTGTTTCTCGAACGTAACCTTTGGAGGCGTTCTATCGCGAGATTGGTAGCGGTCTGTTGACTGTTCTCGTGAGCTACTATGATGATTATCTTCTCTTTTGACACTATAATATCTTTCCCTTGGTGCTGAGTCGTATCTATCCTTGGAGTAGTGTTTATTTGGGCGCGCATACCTGTCTTTAGGTCGACTTTCTCTTTTCTCTCGCTCTTTTCTTTGATCGCCGTTTTCGTACGTAGCATCGATACGATTTTTAGCGCGTAGCCTATCATCTTCATTTCTCCGTTATTCTTCATACATGGCTTGTTGATATGCTATAGGAAGAGTGTGCGTATTTTGTTGTTGGACGGCGAGTCGTAATCCCTCTGGGTATAATCCGCGTACAAATTTTTCTATCGCTTTGTTGGACTCATAAACGCGATGCATTTCTTTATAATCGCCACCTTCTCCGTCTATCGCAACTTGTATTCGCATGTTTATATTATTATAGCGATATACATAATTTTTTACAGGCTCACCGGATTTTTGCCTCATAGCATTTCTGATTTCAGACAGTTGATCGTATTCAAGCTCTAACTTGCCAAAGTGTGTTTCTAAGCATTCTTTCAGTTACACGGCAGTGGTTACCTGGTGTCTTTCTACTACCTGCTGGGCTCTTCCTTTTAATTTTGATGCACAAACTTTCCTAATTAGTGCAGAAATTGTTGGATCAGAGTCTAATTGTCTACTTGTTCTTATAATTTGATCTATAAATGCAGATACGTCAGTCGATCCGTCGTACTCCCTTATTTCAGTCAACAATT